TGCACCTCCGCTGGGGTACACGTCGAGGTCTGCAATTCAGACACCCTCCCACCCTGCCACACCATGTTAAAGCAAAACACGGAGGAATGGAGCAGCCCAGCTGGGGTCATACTGAACCTTCACTTCAACAGGCCAAATGTTTGTTAACTTCAGCCAGTCCAACCTGGGCTCTTGTTCCCAATCCGGTGGCCACCAGAAGTTTCACAAGAGGGGGACAGTTGGAAGACAATGCAAAATGGTAAAACTTCATTGCCCCAGTTCAGTGGCCACTGGTGTTTCTCAACCAATTGCAAAAAAAGAAAAAAAAAAAAAAGGGGGCAGGGGGGGAAGGCAAGGAATAAGATGGTCTTAGCAAACCAAGCGCCTATGCTGATGAATGCGTATGTTCCATTATACTCATCACCAGGACCACTGCTTGGCAAATACTGTCTTTCTCCTCCAACTCATTTTATAAGTTTGAGCAAAAAGGATAAAGACTGTGAAGCAGAAGCCACTGATTAAAAAACCTGGAGAATTCTTCTAGAAAATTACTTTTTCTGTTCTCTCGTTAGAGAACAGTACCAGGATTTTTTTTTTTTTTTTTTTTTTTTTAAATAACTGACAAAACACTTTTCTATTTCTAAGAAGAATTTTGTAACACCCTTATTACTCAGGAGCCTCACTCTTTTGTGCTTGGACATTTCATCACACACTTGACACACACACACCAAATACCCCTGAGCAGAGCAGAGCTCCCCCGGAAGGCAGGGGAGCTGCTGCCACCCCCATCAGTCCTGAACTGGGCCCAGTAAGCAGAGATAAATTCTCATCCTCTTGTTATTGAGTTCAGTCAGCCCTTCAGTGTTGTTCAATATCATTTTGAAAAAAGTTTGTTGTTTTTTTTTTTTAAGAAAGCAAAAGCAACCAAAAGAATTAATGAGCTACACTACGACAAAAAGTATAGTCTACTGGTGTCTATATAGCACTTATCAACAGAAGGCAAAATAAAAAAAAAAAAAAACTCTCACTTCATTTACCAGTTTCTTTTCATAGTTTTCATGAACATTTTAGAGGACTGTTAATTTGTCTCCGAGTCAGATAAAAAACCTGCCATTGCTAACACAAGATAAAAAGTCTAACTGTAGTGGTTGCCACTAAAAAGCCTTTATTATTTGCTACTGCTGCTACCACATAATGAGACAAAGTATGTCACCAGATATGCACACCTTACGTAGGAATCAAAACTCCCTGAATAAATAATCTTCTTCTAATAACTGACAGACCAAATTTGGGTCTCACATTCACAATAAACAGGGCATTACGAGTGCAACATGTGGGAAGCCTTGATAAAAGTTAATGCTTTTGTAAGAGATGATTTTCTGAATCTTGTTAGGAAAGACCTTCTGTTAAAGCCTATACTCAGAGAAGCACAGGACTTGACAAGTATAGTAAAAATTTTAATTTTTTTTTTAACAGAACTCTACTCTGTCACTCCAAATGTCCTGACTCATTGTGTTTATCTAGAGATAACTATGATATTAAAACCAAACAGACCAGACATAAGATCCAGAAGTAGCATTTTAATGAAAAAAGATAAGAATTCCAGAAAACACAGAGGTTAGACATCGAAGGTGTCAGTTAAAAAAACAATATATATAAAAATATGCATATTAAAAACCATCCTTCTTTCTCCAATGAAGTTCTCTGCTCTGTAAAAGTGTCCACTCAACTGCCTGAATTTTTTTTATATACCATGAATACTGAAAAGTCAATTAGAAAGTGTGCATATTTATATACATAAATACACACTTTAAAATAAATATATGAAACAAAAAAGCTAAGTATTTTTACACTTCATAAAATTTCCTTAATTTGTATTATATCCTGTACATTATCAGAGTCTCACTGAATTATGCACATTGGTTTGGATAGGAATAATCTTGGTCTTTTCTGGACTTACTCACATCTGTAACAAGGTGGTTCCTTAGGGAACCAGCTGAGGGAGACTAAGATCATTGTTCCTTTTTCCATGAAAATCCTACCTCAGCCTATAAAAATTATATTCCATACTCACCAGGAACTTCTAAATGAGTGATCCTTCACTCACACTACACTTTCTGCTGTCTGCATCCCAAATATAGAAACAAACATTTGTACTCCCCTATTTACACTACGGTAGCTGCAGAAAAAGGAACTTTAAATCTGTCTGTGGCCCATGAGTTACTACTGTTCTTTTTCTGTCTTCAGCTATGGACTTGCAGAAGGACACACGTCATTAGAAAACAGATTTTGTTTGTTTCTTTGGACAGCACAACCTCAAAGCAGCCAGGGGTTTAAAGTGCTGGAATTGGTCCCAATGAAGACAAATTAGAAAGCTGAAAGCAGAGATGGTCTATAAGGCATCTTAAATTGCATTCAATACATTGCATTGCTTTGTGCGACAGAAGTCTCACTACTGTGGATATGAGGTACGTGTTAATATTATTTGAATACATAGGATTGCAAAGAAACCTTTTTAAAAACAACTGAGCAATGAGAAAATATAAGACAAATGGATCTGCCCACAATGTTTTATTTACAATACTTTCCTCTATTCCCGCTCATCTTTCCACTGTACAGATATGATTGCATGGATGAAGTTTCATAATGACAGCTTAATTCAACTCCTAAAGCCACACAAGTTACAAACCCAACTCTATATTCACATTTTAGAGGATAAAGCAACAAGATTTTTAAATTTAAGGCAGAACAAGCCAGAAAAGACAGGCCACCTCAGGCTATAACATATGAATCCAGATGAAAAACATCACTAAGTTAATACCACATATAAAAACCAAAGTTACTAACAAGACAGCAATACATTCAGAAAAAGCCCACTTCATTAGCTTGATACTATTATGCCATGCTTATTCCATCAAGCAAAATGTTCAGTTTTGTTTGTTGTTTTTGTTTTTAAATCTGAAGCATGTCCAACCTTCTAAATAAAGCTACTGCAATCAGATGTAGAAAACCAACAGTTGATTTCACTACTTTGAGAGCACTACGCTTCCCCTCTTCCCCAGCTATCTCCAGTAGGGACAGCCTTGGAAATGGTTTTCTGTTCATCAACCCAACAAGTACAGCTCAGACAGTGGAAACAGGCTCCATTACATTAAATCACCGATATATTTCATCCTGATTTTCCACTAGGATGAGTCTCTTGCAAGCAAAGACAAGCTTGATCTGACTGTGTTCCGTGTCAACTACACATGAGCCCATTCTCAATCTGAAGCCCCATTGCGTCATTTAGCTTCTTCACGTCCAAGCTTGTAAGATCTCCTCTGAGCTTAACATACCTCCTTATAGCTTTTACTACAGGGCAGATTTTCATCTGGTGATGTTGAAACATGGGCAGGGTTAGCTTGCCTTTGTGTGCGAAAAGCTGGGTACATGCGTTATTAGCTGAGCTTTGTCTCAAAGCCCATCCAAAACCTGGCGGTCTTGCTACTAAACGGATGATTCAAAGCAATAATCATAGAACCACAGAATGGTTTGGGTTGGAAGGGACCTTCAAAAGATCATCTAGTCCAACCGCCCTGCCATAGGCAGGGACATCTTTCACTAGATCAGGTTGCTCAAAGGCCCATCCAACCTGGCCTTGAACACTTCCACAGAGGCAGCATCCACAACTTCTCTGGACAACCTGTTATAGTGCCTCGCCACCCTCACAGTAAAAAATTTCTTCCTAATATCTAATCTAAACCTACTCTCTTTCAGTTTAAAACCATTACTCTTCGTCCTATCACTAAAGCACAAACCTGTTCTCCAAGGGTTCAAGAGAAATCGGCAACATGCTTGATAACTGGCCACAAAACAGACTGCAAGTAGCAGTGATTTTTATCAGTGCCAACCTGTACTGGATCGAGTTCAATGACTTAAGACAGAAGGAAATGAGTTTAAATTGTACTCATTTAAGACTAGATATTTTAGATAAAAATCAGAATGGAGAATTCATACCAAGCCTTTATTGTCAAGGCAACTGCTTAAAATGTTTAATGCTATTTTATTCTAAAAGTGAAATACATCACAGCTGTATGCATATTATTTGTTAGATTTGCTGTATTGATGACAGTAGGAAATACTCTTATTTGTTCAGTCACTGCATTAATTGTTATTGCCTTTTTTTGACATTTAAAAAAGAAAAATAAGGACATTTTATTTGCTCTATTAACTCCCTAAGTGTCAGATTCAGTAAAAACTTCAGTTTTCCACTGTGTAGAAATCACCCCCAAAACCCTGATTTTATGCCTTTAAAGATCAAAAAGACTGATAAGGCTTTTAAAGAACCTCTCCCAATTTTATTTTTTTTAACATTCTCTTATTTTTTATTCTAGTTAAAAACATATCTAATATGACAAATTATTGTCCTATACCCAAAGCGTCTGGAGCACACACATTCACCTGCACACAAACAAGAAACAGCAGCTTATGAATGAGAGCAGACACTTCATTTGTCTTTAGGAATTCACCTCTGAAGTATGTTTATTCACTGATGTACCAGACATGGAAGAACTGACCTGCTATTTTATCTAAAATTAGTTAACAGTTTGTTAAACTCAGTCACCCATATAAAAATCCATATATTCATATATCCATAGAACCTTTCTCTTCCTTTTCCTGCCCTGGGAACAAATAAACAAGCAAATAAAAAACACTCAAGAAAAACGTATCTATTCCCATTCTGGTTGTTACCCAAGTCATTTGGAAAAAAAGTCTCCACAGTGCCTGAAAAAGAGAGTTTCCATTATTTTAATTATCTTTATCTAGAAAAAAATAACATAGTGCAATGTCCAGGATGTGTGTCGGCTAAAACTCCATGGCAATACCTTGCTTCTGTAACACCCACTTCCTCAGACTGTTATGTTTGCACCTTTGTATGTCTTTAACAGGATGATAAATGCTTTTTAAGCAGTAGCCAGGACTTCAAGGAGCCTGGATTCTTTAAGACTCACCAAAATAAATAAGAACGCAGTCCTACCTACCTTAGATATTTCTGGCTCCACTTGTTGTCTCTTGGGTGTCTCTTTTGACTCAGACCCTTTTGGAGTGCTAGTGTTCTTAACAGAGGGCGATTCAACTCCTTCACCTTCAAGTTGCAGATTAATACCTTCTGTGGGGACAGGGTGATCAATACCATTCGGATTCAGATTGCAATGGATAGCTGGGAAAAAAAATATGAGACAGAGAAAACACTGCTTAGGAAAGAAGAACCCAATGTTACGAACATTTATCACAAAGTACTAAGAAGTGCCATGTGGTAACCAGAGCTACGCCTGATCATGGCAAAAGAACGGTCTGTAGCTTGACATGGATTCAGGATTTGAGAAAGAAAATCAGAGGCAATGCAGCACTGTATAAGGCTATTTAGTGCAGGCTACTGTGTTGAACTGTGCTCTACTGGATTCACTACAGCATCCAAGACCCTCAACTTACAGCTTTCACTAGGGTAGGACAATATATCCCATGTATTCATCATTCAGCCATACCTTTTTTTCTTTTCTAGGCAAGCAAGTTAAAGTTTTTCTACTACATTTTCAATTACTACAACATTCTAGGTCCTAAACAACGTGAGATAAGTAAGCTGTGCACAGCAAGTCAGCAAGTCAGTCTCTGCACAGAGTAATGACTTACCCAGCTGATTATCTCTCCTTCAGCACTTTGTACCACTGCAAATTACCACCTACACCATCCTAACAACAAGAGGGATGTACTCTCTAGGAGCATATAATGAGGTGTGGACTAATGACAGCAGAATAAGGAAAGCAGCTGGTGGAAAAAATAAAACAAATGCAAACCATACCACAGAAATGCACGTTTAGATCTATGGCAGTAGTTTAACTGTTTTCTGTCCGAAATTTCACAGTTCCAGCACTCACATAGAGAGCAGCCTTAACAACCTTCCTGGCACATGCAGCAATTTTAAAATGTGTGGATCCTGAGGCAACTTCCCCTTCATGCGAGTATCTGATTTTTGCATTCATGTTCCTGGGTAACTGTGCTACTTTTAGCACTACTCATAATTAGCGGTCCCAACTTCCCCTGTATGCAAAAGATCTTTGCTCAGATACTGTGGTGCAATGTTTGACAGGCCTGAATAGAAACCCAAAACACAATGTAAAGCCAAAATAAAAGCTGCCCTTTTACTCTGGCTTGGCTTCGAAGCAAAGGGTGGGGAGCAGGGGAAGGAATGAGAACTGCCAGTTTCTACCAGCTACGGATCAGCCCTTGAAAGCCTCTCACAGGAAACAGGCTCAAGCAGCTGGAGAAGGCAAAGGGTCCTTCAACTACAGCATCTTTAGAAAATCCATTCACCTGAAATCCCAGAGTCTTAATTGAAAACTTTGAGCCTAAATTACAGCAATTCCTTGGTGCAGGATTAAAGCAAAGGCCAAAAAGTTGGCCTTTTCTCCTTGGGATTTTTAAAAACATCCAAATATTTGTAAAAGATAAGTGATCTGTCCAAGTACTACAATGCCCACATCTGCAAGCTAGGGATGGAAACATCTCCTATCTTCAAGTCAAAGGCACAATATGAAAGATAATTCATTAACAACACTGAGTGATGGAAAGCAGTAAAGAATTGCAACATGTTTTATTACAAATTGCAGCCATTCTGTATAGAAGAATAGAAAAATACATCACTGGCCCACAGAAAACTAATAAATGAAACTAAAAATGGGAAGGAAACTAAATTTCAGGCTCACTGTGAGTAGCTGTAGGGGATTAGTCCTGAACTTCTTTTACAAGTATGTAAAAGAGACAGAGATCCCTCTCCAAATAGTCAATTTAGCAGACAGCACGAGATGAAGAGGAGGAAGAATCCCTAGACTACATCACGTCCGGAGCTGAGCCCTGCAGAGACCTCCTTCTGGGGAAAGAAACAGAAGAGGTGAACAATACAGAGCTTCTGAAGGTGAAGCACGGGGTCTACTGGCTACCCCACGGACCACCACAAAAGGATTTCCAGCTAAAAATCCCTTCTTTCTCAAAAGTGATCCTCCATCTGCTTAGGCCTTGCATACAGAGCTGTGGTTTTGCTTTAAAAGCACTGAAAACCCTCTGACAAGTTTTTTGGGAACTCCCGGGTTTCCCCTTCAGGCACCAATTTCTGAAAAACAAGAGTATTTTTTTATTTTAATAGGGAAAAAAGCACATAAGGAAAAGGGGTCTACAGCAGTCTGTGTGGCTGTTGTTCTTGTCTGTCATCTTTCTGTCTCATTTTAGTAGGGCAGGCATCTGCAATTTCTTCCTGACACCTAGAGGGCTGCTACAGAGCCTTGTTTCCCAAGCCAACTCTAAGGAGCTCTTCCCTGAGTCTAGCTGCAGCTCTTCTACTTGCAAGTCGCTTTCTTCCGTGGTTCAAACCAATTCTATAGGTTGGCTGAAGGCAATGCAAAACCAAATCCCATCATTCTGGCATTACCTCTCACTGGTGAGGAGGGAAAAATAGATGACTGTCTTCAAGTCACTCCTTTCCTCCTACTGGTTTTCCCAGCCACACCTCTGAGTCAATCCAAAACATAAATACTTAAACCTTAATAATGTTAGTAGAGGCACTTCCTAACTTTTGAGTCGTTTATTTCTAGGTACCTACTCCTTCCTGGATTTTGGTTTTATCATGGCTACAAGACTACAATGGAACTGAACTTGAACACAGCTGCTGCTTGATTTTTTCCCCTGCAGGACCTCTTTCTGTGTCAGAGAAAATGCAAAATCCTTTTTACTTCTGCAGTGAAGCTAACAGCCTTCACCCGCTCTGGCTGTATGGCCATTATGGGCAGGTATCCAGAACCTGCCGAGCTGTTATGATGGAGTCTTTGGGGCTTTTAAGCTCCCATGGGAGGTTTCACGGAGATGATATTTTGTGGTTTATATTTACATCAGTGTGTCTTAAGACACCAAAAAATTATCCCTCTCTCCCCTAGATCATATCCACCTATCATTATCTATCTCCTCTAGATCATATTTACCTACCTGAAAGAAACAAGTAATTACTAATGACTACTTTACTTATCCTCCGGACCACAGAAGAGATAGATGTGATCCACCAAGACAGACTTTTTTGCAGCCCAATGAGGATGGAAACTGTTCTGTTAGTAGCCAAACTAATTCCCTTCTTCACAAAAAAATGGGATATATACTAACCAACCTGTTAAAGTACTCCCAGCACACCCTGCTCCAGCAAGGGCTGGAAATTAGCAGTGAAAGACACTTGGTATGGAATGCGGCCCATAAAAATCCCTCCAGCTGTCTTCTGCAAGGATCTTACCTAGCTGAATAGGAAGACTCCTGCATACACCTTTGAAACGCTAACACACCTCAGTAGCATCCAGAAACAGGCAGTTTTTGGCTGCTGGCCCCCTTCCAGTGCTCACTAGGGAGAAATTACAAAGCACAGTGGGACTTAACAGTGCCTGGAAGAACATTGCCAACAGCAAGCTTCCTGTGGATTGCAACTCCTCCCTTCCCAGTGCCCCCAAACACCACAGATTAGGGAGGAGAGTGGTAGGAGATGGACAAGGAAAGCCTTCTGGGTTACAGCATTGATTTACCGTGCATTACAGGGAGCAAATGATCCAGATTGCTGATAACGTGGTAGCATAAGCATCACCTGGATGGCTTAAAAAAGAATAAATCACATGGCAAGATGCTGCTTGACTCTTAGCCCATCATTCTTTCAAGAGTAATGAATGTTAGTGCTGTTTCAGCAATGCTTTATATTGGGCTCCTTCAGTATACAAGAGAGAAAAAATTGGAGAGGCTGCTAGTGATTACATGTATGCCCATTACCTTTTATTGAAAAGAAGTGACTGGTTAAAAGAAACACAGGCTGCCTCAGGAAAGACTTTTCCAAAGTTGCTGATATTGGAGCAGGTGGGGGAGGAAGACAACATTTTTATTTCCTAGGTATAGAGGAAGAAGGAAAGAGTTCATCTCTCTCCTTCACCTCCGTCACAGTCTTGGCTTACCATACACCTGGACTGAATCTGTTCCTTAAGGAAGACTCACCTAGAACAAGAGCCTCAGTATGGGGAGAAGGCAGATTGAAGGGCAGGAGGGAAAAAAGCAGAGATGAGGATAAGTATCTCACCCACTTGGCAAAGCTAATCTCTCTTTGTCATGGGCCATCTTCAGGTAGCCAGCTCTACCGTTTTCCCCTAGCGCTGCCTCCGACTCTCAGCTACACAGAGGGTAAGAAGGAAAGAACATTTGCTTGCATGGCTCTGTTATTTCCTGGTACCACACAGACATACGTATTTCCATCTCTGTGGCAGACAGAGGTGGAGCTCTTGCCTCCTTTTAAATGTCAATTTGTATTGACCATAATGGCTCCCTTTCAAGATTTGTTAAAAGCAGG